TTTTGTTAGTATATTTAAGGATTTAATATTCTTTTTATTTTCAATATTGTCTGATACGAACGGTAGTTAATAAAAATATACTTAGTTTTATTACTTTTGTTTATCAAAATTTGCTATAGTCGGTGGCGAGCATTTCGTAGTTATTTCTAAACAAATATTCAAAGTGATAACAACCTTTTGAAATGTATTCATTGAAAAGTTAGCGGAAAACGAAGAGTGTTTCGACACTTGTTAAATAATTGTTAATTATTTTGTAATAAAATAATTATTTCTTATTAGTAATTCTGTGCTTCAAATTCTTGGTATTAAAAAAAGTAATCAAAAATTGTATTTCGGTGAGTCAATGTTGGTTAGAAAGCTAATGAAAATTCAAAATTTTTACTGGTTTGACTATTAACGAAAAATATGCTAGCAATTAAAACTTATCTTTCTTTAGAAAATTTATTATATTGAAATATTTCAATAGAAATTTATATAGAACATTCAAGATATCAATAAATTTTTTTAAAGAAAGTAAACGTTTACTCAAACATTTCTATGAAATATTCAATTATCGATAAATTGTTAAAGTTTTTGAAAAATTTTCTAATCTAGTCTATCGTCTAGTATATAGTCTAGTCTATAGTCTAGTCTATAGTCTAGTCTATAGTCTAGTCTATAGTCTAGTCTATAGTCTAGTCTATAGTCTAGTCTATAGTCTAGTCTATAGTCTAGTCTATAGTCTAGTCTATAGTCTAGTCTATAGTCTAGTCTATAGTCTAGTCTATAGTCTAGTCTATAGTCTAGTCTATAGTCTAGTCTATAGTCTAGTCTATAGTCTAGTCTATAGTCTAGTCTATAGTCTAGTCTATAGTCTAGTCTATAGTCTAGTCTAGTCTAGTCTATATAGTCTAGTCTATAGTCTAGTCTATAGTCTAGTCTATAGTCTAGTCTATAGTCTAGTCTATAGTCTAGTCTATAGTCTAGTCTATAGTCTAGTCTATAGTCTAGTCTATAGTCTAGTCTATAGTCTAGTCTATAGTCTAGTCTATAGTCTAGTCTATAGTTAGTCTATAGTCTAGTCTATAGTCTAGTCTATAGTCTAGTCTATAGTCTAGTCTATAGTCTAGTCTATAGTCTAGTCTATAGTCTAGTCTATAGTCTAGTCTATAGTCTAGTCTATAGTCTAGTCTATAGTCTAGTCTATAGTCTAGTCTATAGTCTAGTCTATAGTCTAGTCTATAGTCTAGTCTATAGTCTAGTCTATAGTCTAGTCTATAGTCTAGTCTATAGTCTAGTCTATAGTCTAGTCTATAGTCTAGTCTATAGTCTAGTCTATAGTCTAGTCTATAGTCTAGTCTATAGTCTAGTCTATAGTCTAGTCTATAGTCTAGTCTCTAGTCTAGTCTATAGTCTAGTCTAGTCTAGTCTATAGTCTAGTCTATAGTCTAGTCTATAGTATAGTCTATAGTCTAGTCTATAGTCTAGTCTATAGTCTAGTCTATAGTCTAGTCTATAGTCTAGTCTATATAGTCTAGTCTTATAGTCTAGTCTATAGTCTAGTCTATAGTCTAGTCTATAGTCTAGTCTATAGTCTAGTCTATAGTCTAGTCTATATCTAGTCTATAGTCTAGTCTATAGTCTAGTCTATAGTCTAGTCTATAGTCTAGTCTATAGTCTAGTCTATAGTCTAGTCTATAGTCCTAGTCTATAGTCTAGTCTATAGTCTAGTCTATAGTCTAGTCTATAGTCTAGTCTATAGTCTAGTCTATAGTCTAGTCTATAGTCTAGTCTATAGTCTAGTCTATAGTCTAGTCTATAGTCTAGTCTATAGTCTAGTCTATAGTCTAGTCTATAGTCTAGTCTATAGTCTAGTCTATAGTCTAGTCTATAGTCTAGTCTATAGTCTAGTCTATAGTCTAGTCTATTAGTCTATAGTCTAGTCTATAGTCTAGTCTATAGTCTAGTCTATAGTCTAGTCTATAGTCTAGTCTATAGTCTAGTCTATAGTCTGTCTATAGTCTAGTCTATAGTCTAGTCTATGTCTAGTTCTAGTAGTCTAGTCTATAGTCTAGTCTAGTCTATAGTGCTAGTCTATAGAGTCTAGTCTATAGTCTAGTATATAGTCTAGTATATAGTCTAGTCTATAGTCTAGTCTATAGTCTAGTCTATAGTCTAGTCATAGTCTAGTCGTATAGTCTAGTCTTAGTCTAGTCTATAGTCTAGTCTATAGTCTAGTCTTAGTCTAGTCTATAGTCTAGTCTATAGTCTAGTCTATAGTCTAGTCTATAGTCTAGTCTATAGGTCTAGTCTATAGTCTAGTCTATAGTCTCTCTATAGTCTAGTCTATAGACTATAGTCTATAGTCTGTCTATAGTCTAGTCTATAGTCTAGTCTATAGTCTAGTCTATAGTCTAGTCTATCGTCAGTCTATAGTCTAGTCTATAGTCTCGTCTATCGTCTAGTCTATGTTCTAGTCTATAGTCTAGTCTATAGTCTAGTCTATAGTCTAGTCTATAGTCTAGTCTATAGTCTAGTCTATAGTCTAGTCTATAGTCTAGTCTATAGTCTAGTCTATAGTCTAGTCTATAGTCTAGTCTATAGTCTAGTCTATAGTCTAGTCTATAGTCTAGTCTATAGTCTAGTCTATAGTCTAGTCTATAGTCTAGTCTATAGTCTAGTCTAGTCTAGTCTATAGTCTAGTCTATAGTCTAGTCTATAGTTTAGTCTATAGTCTAGTCTATAGTCTAGTCCAACGGTTCCCAAATGGGGGTCCGTGGACCCCTAGTGGTCCGTAGTAAAATCCTAGGGGGTCCGCGAAGACAAACGAAAAAATCCATGAATAAACAATATTCTGCTTTTATGCAATAATCCCAGATTTTTTGGTGACTTTTTGAATTTTATTTTTTCGGTTGTTTATCAAGAAGAAGCTAGGCCCTACAAATTTATTGTATCACTTTTATAAAGTAAGATATTGCCTGATATGTAATTTTTATTTCCTGTATATGTAGTGAAACAATGTTTTTTTATTTCAGACGGATAATGATCTTTTTACAATTAAATAAGGGATACTGGTATTCCGGAGTATGAAATAAGGCCACATTTCATAATTCAAAGACAAGCTTATACCAGATTTAAGTTTGTCAAATTGTAAGCAAAAGTGTTCTTGTTTGTAAGGACTAAAATTATATATTTCAAAAACACCTTCAATAAGTTAATTTAGTTAATTTTAAATATAAATATTCCCTTCCGACTTGATACAAAGATTTTAACTTGATTTTATCGACCAATATTATTAAATTAACATTAGAAAATCCATAGCGTTTCGCGTAAATATGTAGGTAAAGCCATGCAGTAAAAGAGTTCATGTCATATATTATGCGGATAACGCATTCCGCAACAACATGGAAGAAGTCCAACTTTCTTATATTATTTTCCCGAAAACTTAGTTCACTTTACCCCTCTGTAATCGCAATAAATTTTTGAAACGTGACTCCTTAAGCGCATGTCGACAATATTTGATAAAGAAACCTTTTTGCTACCTTGACGAAAAATGAATATGAAAGATCTCACGATCATAACATTAAACATCATGTTAACAATTCAATAAAGAACTCTTTCTATCTTCAAAACCATGCAATTAAAAACCTATCGGGAATATTTTATAGATATGACATCTCTACATTTATTTGACCTAGGGATTTATGGACTAGGTCAATTTTCGGACGAACAATTATTTCGAACAATAAGATATCAAAATATGTATGGAGGTCCGCGAAATTAAACAAGTTCCTCAAGGGGTCCGCGAAGTAAAAACTGGTGGGAACCGCTGGTCTAGTCTATAGTCTAGTCTATAGTCTAGCCTATAGTCTAGTCTATAGTCTAGTCTATAGTCTAGTCTATAGTCTAGTCTATAGTCTAGTCTATAGTCTAGTCTATAGTCTAGTCTATAGTCTAGTCTATAGTCTAGTCTATAGTCTAGTCTATAGTATAGTCTAAAATCTAGTCTATAGTCTAGTATATAGCCTAGTCTATAGTTTAATCTATAGTCTAGTTTATATTCTAGTCTATAGTCTAATCTATATTCTAATCTATAGTATAGACTAAAGTCTAATCTATATTCTAGACTACAGTCTAATCTATAGTCTGGAAAAATATAGATTTTACATAAAAAAAAGATAATTTGATAATACATTTTTTTACTTCTTTAAATTCTAATAATTACATGTGTATTTTTTATTTCTGTAACAATCTAATACTTGTCTATTAACTAAAAAATCAAATACATACATTCGATAAGAAACAATAAAAGGTTTATAAAAATCGCTGAACCATATAATGTAGTCTTTTCGAAATGTCTGTCTAGCTATCATTAATCTATTGATGTGTCTGACTTTATTAGTTAAAAGGGCAAAATAATATAATTGCGAACATAAATTATTTAATAAAGGCAGACAATACGTCTTAAATATTTAATAAATAAATTTATAACATTTAAAAGAAAAAAATGAAACGACATAGATTTATACAAGCAATAAAGTGTCAATTAGATATCAACAGACTTTTGTTGTCTGCCTTTTCAATATGAATTTTAAACAAAATCTTGTAAGGCGAACATTTCCCCACCTTTTTGTCATTAATAAACTTCTTAGTAGAAGTTTTTAAATGCATATTTCGTCCAAATATGTAATTAATAGACATTTATTAAAACTATCTACCCCTTATGATAGTTATCTAAATTCTTAATATGTTTAAGTACTAAGAAATTGCCTAAACAAAATGTAGCATACTTTAAGGCTTAACTTTCCACTAACTATTGAAAACAACTAGCCCCTAATCGATCGTTACCATTTAGTTATTTTGAAATTTTATCACTAAAGGAATTTCAGTAACAGAATAAAAAAAGCTCATCATATAGGAAACAATCATAAAATAGCAAAATTGCAAAAATTACTATGTATAGAACAACCATTATAAACAATAACAAGGAATTTATAACAAATTCAAAAACGTCCACTTACTTGGCATTTTCGAAGAGATTCTCATCGACAACAGCAGCACCAATTTGATAGCTGGAACTTTTCTCATGTTGATTAATTAAATAGTTGCTAAGTTGGGGAACAGGATATTGTTGCGCAGTTTGGGGCTGAGGCATATAAACTGTTTGCTGTGACTGTTGATGAGCAGGCATTTGCTGAAGATTATTATAAGGCTGCTGTTGATCCAGTATAGGGGGAGGTGGAGCATAAGTAGTTCCCACTAAAGTGTCACTTTGATTATATTGACTTTGCTCTAATTGACTTAGTAACTTTTGATCTAATTGTCCCTTGTCTAATTGGGTAGGCATAGTTTGATAATAGTAGTTATTGTCATTGTATGATTGACTGCCGAGTCCATAAGAAGGATCTAAAGGATTTGGTGCCATAATATTATGCATTTGATCGGTAGTGGTGGAATTGGCATCAATATTACCCATATACTCGGAACTATTTGAATTCTGTGTTACTGATTCGGCTTTACTATTAAGAATTTCATTTTCATGAGTGCCAAGCACAAAGGAGCCGTCAAGTTGTTTGGATTTAAAATTTTGTTGCTGTTGATGCAAATTGTCATTGGCAGGTGTGCTAGGGTAGTTTGAAGACCAACTTGAGGTTGTGCTGTTGCAGGAATTAGAGTGGGCATTGATGTTAATGGCACCACAGCCATTGGTTAGCTGCTGCAGGCGATTGTTTATTTGCCTTTGTTTAGCCAACGCACGACATTCCTGCTTATGTGTGGGCCAGTCTAGATGTTGATGATCTGTGGAGCAATAGTAGATGGCTTTGCATTTGGCACAACGTAAAAGTTTTTGTGTTGTACCACAAATACTACACTGTGGCGGTTGTGGCTGTTGTTGCTGCAACATTTGTGTAGTTGTCTGCTGTTGCTGGTGGACTTTACTAGAGGCGGGGGGTAGTGGCGGTACTTGCGGCACCAAAAACACTTGTTGAGAATCCATATGCTAGTCTCTTTTCGTTTCTGCTATTTTTAGCTATTTATGTCTACTCTATAAATGAGTCACTTGTCTAGATTTTTGAGCAGTAAATGTTTCGTTTGCTAGTTGATTTCCTTCTTAAGACACTGGTTACAATTTACCATGAAATGTCCTTGTATTGCCCTTTCTCATAATTAGGTTAGTTTGTTGTTGTAGTTGACTCGGTGGTGTTCACACTATTTACAATTTTCAACAAAAAGAAAAAGATGATAGAATGAGAAAAATAATGCTGACTGACATTTGTTCAAGAAAAAAAAAAAATAAATACACCGAGTGTATGTGGTGTGTGTGTGGTGGCGTCAAGTTCCTCCACCCGCTCTGGTTTAGTTTTGATACGTATGAATATTTTTTGTAGTTTGTTGTTGTTGCCGTTGTTCTTTTCTTATCTGTTTGTCAGATTAACCTTGACAGGGGACTGGCGGTCAATTAGGGAATACAATATGTACTAGTTGTGGATTTTATTGTTATTGTAGTTTTATTATAGTTGTAATTAAATAATTATTACTACTGTTCTAAAGATTGACTGTTTTTTGTAAGACTCTTTTGCGAAAATAAACAAATATTTATGCAGCTGCTTTGTCAAGTTTAAATTTGTAATGGAAACTTGTTTTTTCCAAAAATAATCTATAGGGCGTTTTTAGAAAACAACTTTTCTTAATTGATTTTTATTTATTTTGTTATTTACTTGAAAATACACTAACAATTTGATTTATTGCAATTTTAAATGATTAAGCACAAAACTTTTGATTTCATTCTTGCAAATTTACAAAGTACAAGTACTTTCTGCTCTTTTGTTGTATTTATTATCTTTTATAAATTTATTCTTGCTGTAGACTTTTGTTGTTATTGTATTTGTTTATTATTCTATTTATATTTGTTTTTATTAATTATTTATTTTATTTCTCCTTTTGCAATCGTTCTTCATTGGAAACCACTAGAATTTTTAACTTAACTTTTAACTTAAAACTTGAACACACATTTAATCACGTTTGTTGTTGCTCTTGTTAATTATGCAGTTGTTATTGTAATGGCAATCGATTTTTCTAAGAATTTTTAAATTTAGCTATAAATTTTGCACATTATTTGCAAATGTATTTTGTAAAAAATTGAATTGTTAAAAAACTTTCACGTACTTTTTTATTTTCAAGTAAAAGTTGTCAGTTTAAACGTCATAATTGTCAAACTGACAAATATTTTTAAACGAGTCTCGTTTGAGAGAGAGCAAGAAATTGAGTAGATTTAAGTGTTGCTAATAAAGGGAAATAATAAACTTACATAAAACAGCTAAATTTAGTAAAAGGTTTTATTAAAGTTTTTGAATAATTCTTAAAGAATGAAACAGATTAAAAGCCCAAGCACTCTGTAGATACTTTAAGACCTCGAATACATAACGGTAAAAACCAAATTGTGGTAAAAAATCCTATTTAATTTTTAGAATAACTCGCTAAAATAGTTTTATTTTCAAATTTGCTATTTTAGCGTTTACTTGTTTTGTTTATGAGCTGTATCCTCTTTGTTTACATTTAACAGCTGTTAAGGCGTTTCTACATTCTATATAAAAATGTAACTATGCTCCAGAGACTCGTGCCGTTTCATCTTAAAGCCGACTAAGCCTAGCCGCCGAAGATTTTTCAGCTTGAAAATTTCGCCACATTTTATATAATTTACAGAACACTTTCGCTAAATTTATGCAATTTTACAATATAAAATTAATTCGTTTTAATTTAAGAAGTTTTCTTTTATCTAATAATAAGCCGCTCATTGAAATTAGGCCGGAATAAAACTTTGCTCAACGTTTAATTTATAAGCTTCGCCACAGATATTTTCGTGTTTACGCGCCTTATTCGAGTCAACCGCCATCGCCGTTAATATTTGTCGGCGCAGGGCTCTGCTACGCTGCGGCAAATTTCTTATCAGTTTTTTTTACAATTAGATTTTGAAATAATTACATTTGTATAGCAAAGTTAAAGAAAAATGTGTGAATTTTCTGTGAAAATAATACTTACTGATATTGAGGGCACCACCACCTCTATTAGTTTTGTTAAGGTGACTTTAATTTAATACTTAAAAAAAGGCAAATAACTCCAGCAACATTTCTCTCCTCTACAGGATACTTTATTTCCCTATGCCAAAGAACACACTGAAAAATATCTACAAGATACATGCGAAACTTTAGAAACTAAAAATATAATAAAAGATTTAAAGAATTTGCCACAATATGAGGTATTTTTGAAGGAAACTAGCACTACCCCAGAAAAAGAAGTGGACATCAATGTTATAAGTCAATTTGTAAATTATTTAATAGATAAAGACTTAAAATTGGGACCACTTAAAACGCTGCAAGGATATGTATGGGCGGAGGGCTATAAAAGTGGTAACATCAAGGGACAGTAAGTATTAAACAACTTTTAATAACATACAATAGCTAATTATTTTTTAAAGTGTTTATCCAGATGTTCCTGCAGCTTTTAAACTTTGGCATGAAGCTGGTGTGTCGGTAGCCATCTATTCCAGCGGCAGCATTAAGGCTCAACAACTTTTATTTGGTCAAACGGAATTGGGTAATCTTTTACCTTATATAACAGCACATTTTGACACCACCAGTGGTCATAAACAGGAAAAACAGTCATATATTAATATAGCTCAATCATTAAATATTGATCCCCAGGATATATTATTCTTAACAGATATAGTAAAAGGTATTTTTAAGGAATTTCTAATAAAATATAATTTTTCTTATGTGTCTTTCTTAATTGTTTTTTATTGCAGAGGCTGAGGCGGCCCGTTTGGCTGGTTATCAAACTGCTGTTCTCTCTAGACCTGGTAATGGTCCTTTAACTGACGATGACAAATCTCAATTTACCATTTTAAATGATTTTGAATCTCTTAAAATTGTGCCTAAATAAAAAAGACACAATTTTTGTTATATTTTTCTAAGAATGTTGTTTCAGAAGAATTATGAAATATTTAATGATAACATAATTTTCAGTATAACGATGGGTAAGTTTACTTACTTGCCGTTTAATCTTAAGTACGATCTAATCTCTAAAACCCCGAAAAAAATGAAGCAGACTTGATTTTGTAATTCGAAATTATTAAGATGCTTTTGTACGGAGCATAAAAAGTATGAGTTTTATGTGGAATCAAAGCTTAGATGGAAGTGAAAATTTAAACTTTAGAACAAATATTATAAATCGACTTTTTTGTTGACACTTCACTGCCGAATTGTACGACTGATAAAAAGCTTTTTTACTTTACAAGCTGTTTTTTTTGGATTGATTGTAATGATTTTCATAACTTTATTATTAAATTCCATTTCAACTACAAAAAAGCTCTATCCAAACTGGACAACTCATCGCCACTGTCTAATTCAGCTTTCCCAAAATTTCCATCACTTTTGCACGATCTCTCCTCATGTCTTTGCATACGACTGGAATTTCTTTTCTTTTGAGATTTTAACGATTGTTGAGTATTTGTACTGTGATTTGAATTGCGGGATTGAGATTTTGCACCATCGCCACCATAAATTTTACGTAAACTATTCAATTTTTGCGACATGCTAGCTCGTGACTCCGTTTGTACTCTATAGGCGGTATCAAAATTGTCTTCTTCCATAGCTAATGACGATGTTAGAATGCCGCTGCGTCTACAGCTAAGACTACGTGATGTATGCTTTTTACGTCTACTACGCTGTTGATTCGATTGACACATGTGACGTCGTCCCTCTTTTTGACAAGCATGCGAAAGTTTACCCACATGAGGACCCCAATAGGTGGGTCCCTCCAGCAGTAGGGGTGCAGATTTGACGCGTTGACGCATCAACTCCATGTTGAGTTCATATTCACGTTGCTGGAGTGCTTGTTCGGCTTTACGTGTTGCCAAACGTAGTTGCAGTATCTCCTTGTGTGTTTCACTGGAGGATTATATCAGAATTATTTTAATTTATTGGAATTTTTAATAAATTTGGACTCACTTGAAGGATAACGTTTTCCAGGCTGGGGTTTTTCTAACTTCCCAATCGAATTGTGGTGTAGTGTCGTGGTAGGTACAATTATTTTTAAGTTCTTTAACTTTTTTCTTAGAACTTTCCACCCTTAAAGTGGCAGCCAAGTTGGGACGGGCTACAGGATGCACCGGCGAGGGTGTAGAATGCTGGAAAGTTTTCATAATGGCTATAAAATACCTAATAATCATATTATCATATTAATTTCTAGTCAATTACCTTAATAGAACCCTCTTTTTTCGAATCCTCCAATTCGAATATTGAAAAAGGCATTTTGTATTCCTCTTTTTTATTAGATTTTTGTTTGGATTTCTTTTTTCCTTGCAAACGATCACTAGACTGATCGGAGGAGTTTGGTGAATCTACAATAATTTTAGGTATTCTAAAGAAATTAGAAAAATACAAAATTGAAATCGTTTAGAAAGATCAGTATTAATCAACTATATATTCACCCCGTAGTCTCTGATTTCGACTTCTCCGCAAAGTAATTACTTAAATTTGAGGGATCTTGTAAACCAGTAGTATCTCCTTTAAATGACAAATGTTCCAAAGTTTTATTTTTCTTTCTCAATTCTATAAGTTCCGCGGGTTCGGTTAGCGAGTGTAAATCATTAAATGACAACGATTTACGTAAACGTTCACGTAATTGGGAGGTAAAATTGGAACGTACAGGTACTCTGCAAAATCAAAACAATAGTTTGAGCAGGATTTTTTTTATAATAAACTATTTATAGATTTACTTTTCCGAAATTTTCTTATTATCCTCTTGCGGTTTACTAAATAAATCTTTGGAAGATCTTTTTGTAAAAGAGCGGGATTCATTGCGATTTAAAGAACTCAAGGGACGTTTAAATTCCGCCTCAAATTCCTTTAAGGAGTTTTTAAAACATTCTACTTCTTGCTCTAAATCCAGTTTAGAGCTGAAAACAAAAAACTAAGTTAATAAAATAGAAGGAATTTAATTTTATAAATTTTACTTTGAATTTTGGCGCGGTTTTGTTGCCATCGACTCTAGACAAGTCTCTTGCTTGTTTAAAAAATCTTGTACAAAATCGGATTCCTGCACTTGCTCACATTTTATAGTATTATGTTTAATATTCGATTTTTTCTTCTTTTTAGTTTTTTTGCACTTTTTACTGCGACTTCCACCCAATTGACTATTAGACGTTAAAGAAGTTGAGGTAGTGGTGGTACTGCAGCGATCTTCTGAACTTAAGCAACTGGTTTTTACTTTTAATTCACGACAAGTTGATCTTAAAGTATCCAAAGTGGAATAAAATTCCTCTCCACTCAAATGATGCAAATCTCTGTAATCTTTTAAACCGATCATATAAACAATATCCAATCTATAAGAATATATTTGATATATACAAACCTGGTATACTATCATACAATTTCGCCAAGGATCTAATACCACCACAAGACCATTTAGCACCTCTGTCCACCGAACTACAGTGTTTCCCCATATCCTCAGCATTTGAACAAGTATTTGGTGTTGCTGTTGTACGTCCCAAATATAATTTGGGTCTGCTGTAGTTGGGTGCCGGACAATTGTTGCAAGGATCTATAGGTACTTTTAAACAGGTATTCAAATAGGCTCTACCAATATGAGAAGACATTTTTATTGTTATTTTTTTAGTAAATATTAGAATGCCACTTTACGAATTGTTATTCCTTGTTGAATGTTCCCAAATTTTATTTTTTCCTTTTGCTTTATCAATATTTGATTTGGTTGCCAAGGACAACAGTTGTTATTGTTTACCCTATTCGATATATTATAATCTTTTATACTGTTCCATTTGAATTTTGTTGTGGTATTACATTCGCATTTATAAAGTCTGTTAAATAGGTTTTTGTGAATGCTTCGTGACTCCTGTAATTAAAATCCATTAAACAATTAATTCATTATTTTTCAAATCTAAAAGATAGATAGATAGATAGATAGATAGATAGATAGATAGATAGATAGATGTATAGATAGATAGATATATAGATAGATAGATAGATAGATAGATAGATAGATAGATAGATAGATAGATAGATAGATAATAGATAGATAGATAGATAGATAGATAGATAGATAGATAGATAGATAGATAGATAGATAGATAGATAAATAGATAGATAGATAGATAGATAGATAGATAGATAGATAGATAGATAGATAGATAAATAGATAGATAGATAGATAGATAGATAGATAGATAGATAGATAGATAGATAGATAGATAGATAGATAGATAGATAGATAGAGCCCATATTCTAGTCTATAGTCTAGCCTGTAGTCTAGACTATAGTCTTGTGTATAGTCTTGTCTGGAGTCCTGTCTATAGTATTGTCTATAGTCTTATCAATAGTCTTTTCAATAGTCTTGTCAATAGTCTTGTCAATAGTCTACTCTATAGAATAGTCTTGTCAATAGTCTAGTCTTTAGAATAGTCTATGGCCTAGTCTATATTCTAGTCTATAGCCTAGTCTATAGTCTAGTCTGTAGTCTAGTCTATAGTCTAGTCTATAGTCTAGTCTATAGTTAGTCTATAGTCTAGTATAGTCTAGTCTATAGTCTAGTCTATAGTCTAGTCTATAGTCTAGTCTATAGTCTAGTCTATAGTCTAGTCTATAGTCTAGTATAGTCTAGTCTATAGTCTAGTCTATAGTCTAGTCTATAGTCTAGTCTATAGTCTAGTCTATAGTCTAGTCTATAGTCTAGTCTATAGTCTAGTCTATAGTCTAGTCTATAGTCAAGTCTATAGTCTAGTCTATAGTCTAGTCTATAGTCTAGTCTATAGTCTAGTCTATAGTCTAGTCTATAGTCTAGTCTATAGTCTAGTCTATAGTCTAGTCTATAGTCTAGTCTATAGTCTAGTCTATAGTCTAGTCCTATAGTCTAGTCTATAGTCTAGTCTATAGTCTAGTCTATAGTCTAGTCTATAGTCTAGTCTATAGTCTAGTCTATAGTCTAGTCTATAGTCTAGTCTATAGTCTAGTCTATAGTCTAGTCTATAGTCTAGTCTATAGTCTAGTCTATAGTCTAGTCTATAGTCTAGTCTATAGTCTAGTCTATAGTCTAGTCTATAGTCTAGTCTATAGTCTAGTCTATAGTCTAGTCTATAGTCTAGTCTATCTAGTCTAGTCTATAGTCTAGTCTATAGTCTAGTCTATAGTCTAGTCTATAGTCTAGTCTATAGTCTAGTCTATAGTCTAGTCGATAGTCTAGTCTATCTAGTCTATAGTCTAGTCTATAGTCTAGTCTATAGTCTAGTCTATAGTCTAGTCGATAGTCTAGTCTATAGTCTAGTCTATAGTCTAGTCTATAGTCTAGTCTATAGTCTAGTCTATAGTCTAGTCTATAGTCTAGTCTATAGTCTAGTCTATAGTCTAGTCTATAGTCTAGTCTATAGTCTAGTCTATAGTCTAGTCTATAGTCTAGTCTATAGTCTAGTCTATAGTCTAGTCTATAGTCTAGTCTATAGTCTAGTCTATAGTCTAGTCTATAGTCTAGTCTATAGTCTAGTCTATAGTCTAGTCTATCTAGTCTATAGTCTAGTCTATAGTCTAGTCTATAGTCTAGTCTATAGTCTAGTCTATAGTCTAGTCTATAGTCTAGTCTATAGTCTAGTCTATAGTCTAGTCTATAGTCTAGTCTATAGTCTAGTCTATAGTCTAGTCTATAGTCTAGTCTATAGTCTAGTCTATAGTCTAGTCTATAGTCTAGTCTATAGTCTAGTCTATAGTCTAGTCTATAGTCTAGTCTATAGTCTAGTCTATAGTCTAGACTATAGTCTAGTCTATAGTCTAGTCTATAGTCTAGTCTATAGTCTAGTCTATAGTCTAGTCTATAGTCTAGTCTATAGTCTAGTCTATAGTCTAGTCTATAGTCTAGTCTATAGTCTAGTCTATAGTCTAGTCTATAGTCTAGTTTATAGTCTAGTCTATAGTCTAGTGTATAGTCTAGTCTATAGTCTAGTCTATAGTCTAGTCTATAGTCTAGTCTATAGTCTAGTCTATAGTCTAGTCTAGTATAGTCTATAGTCTAGTCTATAGTCTAGTCTATAGTCTAGTCTATAGTCTAGTCTATAGTCTAGTCTATAGTCTAGTCTATAGTCTAGTCTATAGTCTAGTCTATAGTCTAGTCTATAGTCTAGTCTATAGTCTAGTCTATAGTCTAGTCTATAGTCTAGTCTATAGTCTAGTCTATAGTCTAGTCTATAGTCTAGTCTATAGTCTAGTCTATAGTCTAGTCTATAGTCTAGTCTATAGTCTAGTCTATAGTCTAGTCTATAGTCTAGTCTATAGTCTAGTCTATAGTCTAGTCTATAGTCTAGTCTATAGTCTAGTCTATAGTCTAGTCTATAGTCTAGTCTATAGTCTAGTCTATAGTCTAGTCTATAGTCTAGTCTATAGTCTAGTTATAGTCTAGTCTATAGTCTAGTCTATAGTCTAGTCTATAGTCTAGTCTATAGTCTAGTCTATAGTCTAGTCTATAGTCTAGTCTATAGTCTAGTCTATAGTCTAGTCTATAGTCTGGTCTATAGTCTAGTCTATAGTCTAGTCTATAGTCTAGTCTATAGTCTAGTCTATAGTCTAGTCTATAGTCTAGTCTATAGTCTAGTCTATAGTCTAGTCTATAGTGTAGTCTATAGTCTAGTCTATAGTCTAGTCTATAGTCTAGTCTATAGTCTAGTCTATAGTGTAGTCTATAGTCTAGTCTATAGTCTAGTCTATAGTCTAGTCTATAGTCTAGTCTATAGTCTAGTCTATAGTCTAGTCTATAGTCTAGTCTATAGTCTAGTCTATAGTCTAGTCTATAGTCTAGTCTATAGTCTAGTCTATAGTCTAGTCTATAGTCTAGTCTACAGTCTAGTCTATAGTCTAGTCTATAGTCTAGTCTATAGTCTAGTCTATAGTCTAGTCTATAGTCTAGTCTATAGTCTAGTCTATAGTCTAGTCTATAGTCTAGTCTATAGTCTAGTCTATAGTCTAGTCTATAGTCTAGTCTATAGTCTAGTCTAGTCTATAGTCTAGTCTAGTCTAGTCTATAGTCTAGTCTAAGTCTAGTCTATAGTCTAGTCTATAGTCTAGTCTATAGTCTAGTCTATAGTCTAGTCTATAGTCTAGTCTATAGTCTAGTCTATAGTCTAGTCTATAGTCTAGTCTATAGTCTAGTCTATAGTCTAGTCTATAGTCTAGTCTATAGTCTAGTCTATAGTCTAGTCTATAGTCTAGTCTATAGTCTAGTCTATAGTCTAGTCTATAGTCTAGTCTATAGTCTAGTCTATAGTCTAGTCTATAGTCTAGTCTATAGTCTAGTCTATAGTCTAGTCTATAGTCTAGTCTATAGTCTAGTCTATAGTCTAGTCTATAGTCTAGTCTATAGTCTAGTCTATAGTCTAGTCTATAGTCTAGTCTATAGTCTAGTCTATAGTCTAGTCTATAGTCTAGTCTATAGTCTAGTCTATAGTCTAGTCTATAGTCTAGTCTATAGTCTAGTCTATAGTCTAGTCTATAGTCTAGTCTATAGTGTAGTCTATAGTCTAGTCTATAGTCTAGTCTATAGTCTAGTCTATAGTCTAGTCTATAGTCTAGTCTATAGTCTAGTCTATATTCTGGTCTATAGTCTTGTCTATAGTTTCCTTACGAAAATCTGTTCCCAAAAAATATTTGAAATTCTCAATTTGTTAACATATTCCCATATCTGGTAACACTGCTTACTTAATTATTATCAGTGACATCTAGTGTTGATATTTCGTACATCCAAAACAAAACATTAAATTTCCGGTTAAAAAATCCGCTAATCGGTAATTTCCTTTTAAACACAACTTCTAAATAAACAAAAATGCTTATTTTTTGACACTTGTTTTAACATCCCCTTCGCTACAACAGAAACTTGTCAATTATTCAGTGAATTTGTTTTCAGTTGTTTTGTGATTTCCAGCTGGTGAGTTTATCAATTGCGGACCAGCGATTAAAAAGTGAATTGTAAATTGTGAAAATATTAAACATAATTTAACTTTTTGTTAAAAATTAATTGCACGATCAGACAAAAAAAAAAAAAAAAAAAGAAAATAATTAGTGACAAAGCAATTTTGACATCTTTTCACTTCTTTTTAAGCAAACGTGTTAATAGCTAGCGAACACGTAACGAAAAAAACATAAATTACGAAAGTTTTAAGGAAACTATTATCTAAATAAAAGTTGAACAAAAAAAAATCCCTCAAAGAAATAAACAAAATGCGTTTCTACGCAGTTGGAGCAACAGTTGCGCTGCTTTTAATAATACAAGCAGCTGCTGGACAAGAGGCTAATAATGTTGAGGTGAGTTGTTAATTATTTAATGGATCACAGACTAATAAATACTGGTGCATTTATTTTGGATTATAACTAAATGCTAATTAGTTAATAAATTTATTCCCTAAACATGCCTGCTAATGCTTTAACTAAACAAAAATAAATTTGCAAATAACAATTATAATAAACACCATACAACAAACTAGAGGTTGATGTCATTTTAATTTTTTTTATTATTTTTAACAACAACAACAAAAATACATTAAATCTGGAATGAGGAAAAATATGTGTGTGTGTGTGTGTGCCACTGATTGTGTGAGCGAATGTTTATTATTATTTTGGAAATTTCACTGATTGGTGAATCTGTTGTGATTCCTAATAACAATGCAGCAGCTGATTTGTATTATTTCAGTTCTAAGAATTTAAATCGACACAAAATCTCATTTGAAAAGTAATTGGCCGCAGACATTTCACACATTAAATATTAATATGTACTTGAGTTTTATAGCTTTTTTCTATTTATAATAATTTACGTTTTTTACTTTTTTTTTTTCATTTATTTACATTTTCAATTTGCAAATAATCATCAGTTGAAAAGTTTTCTTTCTTTCTTTGTTTTGCCTTTGAGGTTATGTTTTTACTTACTTTTGCTGTTGCTTTTTTTTTTGTTTATTATTCCATTTGTTTGCTTTTTTCTTTAGTTGAAATATGTAAACAAAACAAATTCTATTTTCTTATCTTTCCCTCCAGTTAGAACAATCAAGTACTTAAGCCATTTTGTTTGATTATTACGCTGCTTATTACGTCTTTGTTTAGTGAATTTTTTTTTCGCTTTTGTTCTTTTTGATAGTGTTCTTTATCGTTTTGAAAAATGTCATTGGAGATATCTAGTATCGAAAACGACACATTTTTAAAATATCATAATTTAGTATGTCACTAGTTAGTTTATCATATTTTACACTCTAGTTAAAGTTAATAGGTATCTTAAGTTATATCATTCCGTTGTGACATGTTGGAATTTAGTTAGATACGATTTGGATTTCTACTTGAGAATTTTTAAGTAAAGAGTAAATACTTGGTTAGGTTGAAAGGGAAGTTGGTGTAAACTTTACCTTTATGGTACACATTTCATATGGATATTTATTTCGAAGAGTTTTAAGAAGCGATATCTCAGTTTTAGATACTGTAATATGCTTGACAACTCTTAATCTGTCCTTCTGCTCGAATCAGTTTCCCTATGTTGACCCTTATACCAGGTTGTAGAAGACTTTTACAGATGTCTCGTTTTTTCGTATCGAATGATTTTCTCATATTCACCAAGTTTACAAAAGGGCCGGATCCTCCAGCTTTATAAGTGACAAAACCCCTTGACCATGCTAGTTGTGACAACTCTCTATTAACCTCCTCTTATGTGGGAGATGAGAGTCCATCAGGAGTTCAAATGTCTCGTTCATTTCCTACAATCTTCTCACTGTACCATTGACGAATGGGTTCTGGAAAGGAATTTTTTAATCTTTTTTAATCTTTAATCGACAATCTAATCTTTTTTAATCGACACATCATTCAATCAATCTGCTTGTTCAGAGAAGATAGTTTGGCGACCCTCCAGAATTGGTTTCACTTTGGTAACCATTAAATCAGGTGGAAAATGAGGGTCTATCAGTTGTTTTATTGTCTCCTCTATTTGCTTTAATCTCCTGCCTGTGCCATTAACTATGGTTAAAAATGGATTTTGGGTAGGAAATTTTTAATCTTCATGGTTAGGTTATCAGGTTGTCCATGTGCTGTTAACACTGGAGACACACTAGGGTCCATTTCGTTGATCCCTTTATGATACCTGTAAAAGAGAAAGCGGTCAGCGTATTAGTACACTTCAACCCAATTACTCTGGATTCCTACAAAACCAGTTTGTCGCACGATTAAAGAATTCTAACTTTCGGATGTCAGCTGCAACGGATCTATGTTAGATCGTGTAGGAAATGAGCTCCTAGCTATGTTCACGTTCGGAAAAGAGTTTCGAGGAGACACGTTTGGCTATCCGAATAAATTTCCTATACTCATCAAGTTTACTAATTAATATATTATCCCCAGTATACTGTGGTATTTATACGTTATGTCCGCTTCAAGAGACCACGAAGATTTTGAATCTGCTAAGTTATCACGGATCGCCGATGTCATAAAGAGAAATTGTCCTCGAACAATTCAACCAAATCATTTGTGAACTTTTCTACTTTGATGTCTATATCTTCTCTATAAAAATCCTGTTCTAGACGGTTACCTTTTAAGGACCAGTAAGTCTTAGGTTTATAAACTTATATTGCCATGTTCTCTAAAGTAGTTCGCTTTCTTTACTTTATAACCTGAATATGTATACACACAATGTTTTGTCTAATATTTTCTCCTAATCCTATTGAGGATTTATAGCCCAAATCAAAGGGCTTCTTCTCTGTGATTAGTGTTAGTACCGTCCTAAGCTGTTAGCCTTGCAACATTAACTTATATGTGCACCTTATCAACCAATTTCATCAACTCTGTGGGTAGAAGAAAATGTAAAGAGATTCCGACTTTGATAACCCTGTTGAGAGAATAAAACATAAGTTCTTGTGATATAAATGTTATCGGATTAGACGCCGTATCAGATTGAAGCTTAATGCTGTCATGAGTTAAAGTTAATATCATTATGTTAGGGTCCGTCTCATGATCTCATGAAAATGATTATAGTGTTAATCTTGACACGTCCATTAACGGTCTCTATTCAATCGATCAACGTACAAAACAAGGAGTTAGGAACAGTTCTCCGATATATCTTTAAAGGAAACTTAGTTAAGAAAATAAAGAACCAGAACCCTATTTGGAAACCCGTTGGAACAGACCTTTCGCAGTATATATATTATGATTATATTATCATAATTTCCATTAAAAATGTTTTAAATTTTTGATAAAATACTACTTTTATAAACTAAAGTCCTTTTAAAATATTAAATCTATTTTTACTGGGATTCATAAGAATTTTCTAACTAATTTTATTTTGAAACTTTTTATCGGGAATTGTTTTATAAAGCTAATAAACCTACTTAATTACTGCTATTTTCGTTATTTAAACAAGAAGCATTAAATTCCTCCCCCCTTAATTTGATATACTGATAAACTCGTATCTATAATGACAACTTCAACTTGACACTAACGCTAAAAGAAAGAAATATGATTATTGACGTTATATGTCAGTGACAATAGGTCATATTCAAAGTTCATTTACCTATTAAAAATATCTCTATGACTACTCAATATTTTGCTTCTATTAACTAAAATGTAATTTTTGCAAAGAAGAAGAAATATGTTTTAGATTAAAATATTTGATGTCAGACATTTTGCCTCATAGCAAAGTTAAGTGGGCACATTTTGTCTGGTCAAGACATTTCACCTTAAATCTATATAAATATATTTGAAAAATGTGTAAAAATAGCTAAAACATTCTATGGAAAAATACATGTAGACATCAGAAAATCTCTTTTTTTTTTTTTTGTTGTTAAAATTTAACTAAAAGTGCATTTATGTGCAATTTTTATTTTGCACTTATTTAACATTTTGTTATTAAGTTTCTTTGTTTAGTTTGTTTTTCTCAGTTTTTTGTTCTCTCCTTATCGACATACATATATTTTTATCATATTTCTTTTCTATTGTTTCAATCAAGTATGAATTTTTATGGTCAATTTTATTTTTGTGTACAAGCTTTTGTTGGATTATAACGTTTAACTTCTTTATGTCATAATAAAATGTCACTCGTACTATTTTTATACAATTTTGTTTCATTTCTTCGTTCATTCTTAATCTTATTTTCAATTTTGCATATAATTTCTATGCTAAACTATGTCTTATACATATATATTTATAAACAATTGAATTAGCTTTTTGAGAGTATTCTTTTACATTTGAAATGCCCTTCGTCATAGGAGTAGACAAGACGCTTAGATCCCCAAGTGACAAAGAATAGAAAAGCGAATTAGTTTCTTTTGATTTGGAAGATCAAGGTGTTTGGTGTTTCATTACCATCTCTAATGCACTGAAACTTTATGGATCTGATTAGGACAGATACTTATCTTTGACCTGCTCGACATAGAGTCAGACGTAGGTTGTTATACATGTTTCGTGAGACAGGACACTATATAACAGATGTGCACGTTATGAGACTTAATCTCCCATTAAATGTCTACTCTAGGAGATGTCTCATTGAAGCCGTAGGGGAAATTAATGACCCATACCTCCCTCCCTCCCTCCTACTCTGCCAAAAACTAGAAATTAGCAGTCCAATATTGTAGGATGACGCACATGCATTTATTTTGTTTGTGCTTGAGGTATAATTCTTTTCAGAAAACACACTGGAAGCAGCTTATGGACTCAAATGAGTCGACCTACGGGTCATATGCTGATATAACCTAACCTATCGAAGATCAAGGATCCTTATAATAAATACTCAGAGTATTCTTTGATTGGAAATTGATCGACAACGGATAGAAATTGGTCCCGTATGTCATTGCGATATTGTCAGGAAGAAACTGTTAGATCAACAACGCGTTATGATGTCTCATCGGCAGTCAACTGATCTCCGTTGGAAATATCTTATTAAGAGATTATATCCTGAATTACATTGCAATGTGATAGAGACAGAAAGGAACTGCCAACAGTAATCACCATTGTTTAATCTTTAACTTTTCGACTTTATTGACGGGAACCAGAAATGCCACAATAGACAGTCTAGTATTTCACAAACTAGAGGATCTGTCGAATATAATTATTATTACATATTATTAGGGTTAGTTTGATTCTATAATGATCATGGACATGATTATGTCCTATGAGTCGATTTAAGTATAATTTTGGATAGATGTTATTACGAAGAAGAAACTGTCTGCACAATAACACGTTATAATGTCTGATCGGCAGCTTTATAATGTCATAATGTCTATCACAATTGAAAAGATATTGATCAATTTCTAAGACGAGGGAGACGTTATGATATTTGATCGTCA